CCCACGAGAACATAATTAAATGCAGCTGCACTGAAACCATTAATTGGACCTGGTTGTTTCTGCAATCCTGCTTTTTAATTTCTAATTGTACGAGAACTGATTAATTCTCTTATAATTAAAAATTAAGATTTCAAAATGCCATATGAAAGGTACAATGGTTTAAACTTTTTTTAAATTTTATTTTCTTGGAATATGCCAGTTTAAACCAGTACTCAGTATCTTTTTATAGCTATATCTCTAAAGTGAGATTTTACATGGAACCAACACCTTTATCAACGTAACTTTTTTTCAGGAAAAACCAATTTTTCCAACACCGAAGCAATAGAATAACTCAATATAAGTAGATAAGATACGAAATACATTTTCTACAGAAAAAAAATCCAGATAAAATGAGTGGAAGGTTTCGCAAATTTAAACGATTTATAACAACTGTACAACCCCAGATTGACTGTCATAACAATATTAATAATACATGCGAAATTGTAATTAAAGAAAGAGACACAACGATAATATTTTTATCGTGATTTTTTTTGTCCTGAAATCAGTACAATTGGCCATAAGACTAGATAATTATTTAGTTTTTAACGGGGTCAACGAAGGCAAACATGCAAAACAAAAAGCCTTATTAATTGCAACAGACCAGTAATAAATAATTTAAAGAACCGAGCTTTCGTTTTTTTTTTATCAATCATCACTTAATTCTTCTTGGCAAGATTTTTAATGTAAAAGTCATAAATTACTATTGATTCTTCTCTCTCTCTCTTTGGTTTTTCTTTTTCTTTTACAGTCTGGGTTGGTGTTATAAATCATTCACTTACCTATTGCGATTTGTTTATATTTGACTTTGTTTCGGCCTTTTTTCGGTCCCTCCCTCATCAGAGCATTTAGGAGTTAGAATCATACTCCAGTCTAAGTATGATTCTAGCTCCTTAAAACCCTGATGAGGGGCTGGTATTACAAGCCGAAATGCATAGGTAAAACAACAAGAAATCGCAAGGCTGATCTTTAAGAGTTCAACATTTCAACACCAACCCTGTTTATAAAATTCATATTAAAAAAAAATTAATTTGATATATCTACTTGAAGAAATCCATATAAAATAAAAAATAGTTTTCATCATTCAAAAATTATCGTTACGATTTAAGTTGTGATGATGGGATTTAACCAAGGGCTATAAAGAATCGTGGCAATGTAGGAAAAATGTCTTTTCTTCTCCATTTTCAACTCAGGCTCAACTAAATTTCACCTGTAAATTAGACTAAACTAAAATACAAAATGAACTTATAATTCAGATGTAGTCTGTTATTATATTTTTAATTTAATCAAATGACAATATGTAATCTAGTAACGGATTCTTTTATTCTTCAATCAGTTTTTCGGCATTCAATACAACATTATCACAAAGAAAAAACTTTTTACATTCTTTTGAAATTAATAAGAACTTAAAGGGAAAACATCAACTGGCTTTATATAATTTCAATAGGCAATGTAGATTGTTTTTCTTTGACCAACGGATTTTTTGTCAGTTAGTTCCAACAAAAAGACACTGTACAGGACATTTTATGAAAATCATGTACGCAAGACCAACCCGGGCCATAAAATACATCAAATTTTGTAATTTGTAATAAGCATTATTATTTATTTATAGTTTTTTTGTTAATTTATATAGCTACTTGAAAAAACCCGTTAAAAAATTAGTTTTTCATGTATTAAAAAACAGAAGGTATGATTTATGTTGAGATGATGGAATTTAGCCTAGGGCTATACAATCATGATGTAGGGAAAAAGGGAAAATGTCTTAACTTCACCATTTTCAACAAAGGCTCAACTAAATTTCACCACTAAATTTGACTAAACTAAAATTCAAATGTAGTTTAATTCCGAATTGTATTTGTATATTATTATATTTTTTCATTCAATCAAATGACAACTTCGACTAGTTTTATTGTTTAAATGGACGATGTTTTTTTTTGGTAAATAGATTGTTGTTAAAGTTAGATCCGACCAAAAGGCATTGTGCAGGGTATTTTAGAAAAATCATGTCCAACACCATCCATGATCATAAAATACATTAGTTTGGTATGCATTATTTTTTTAATTCCCGGTTGTTATAAGTTTTTTAATTTGATAGGGCTATATGAAGAAACCAGCTAAAATTTAAAAAAAAAAGTTTTACGTCCAATAAAAAATAATCGTTGTTTTATGTAGTGATGATGGAATTTAGCCTAGGGCTATAAACAATTGAATGACATCGGGAAAAAAAAGATAAATTTATTTTTTTAACCATTTGCAACACAGGTTCAACTAAATTTCACCAATAAATTTGACTAAACTAAAATTCAAATTAACTTGAGATCCGAATTGTATCAGTAAATTATAATATTTTTAATTCAATTAAATGACAACTTCGGCTAGTTTTATTGTTCAAACAGAAAATATTTTTCCATGATCAACAGATTTTTTTAATGTTCGATTCGAAAAATGACATGGTGTATAGAATTTTAGGAAAATCATATTCAACATTTCAACACCAACCATGGTTTATATGCATATGGTTTTATATGCACTTTTTTTTTCAATTCCCGGTTGTTATAGGTTTTTAATGTTATATGGCCACCCGTTTTTAGAATTACAAAAAAATTAATTTTATATCCAATAAAAGACAATAGTTATGCTTTATGCTGTGATGACAGATTTTAACCAATAAGCTATCGCTATAAGCAATCGTGATGATGCAGGGAAAGAAGGAAAAATGGCTTTTCTTCACCATTTCAACACAGGCTCAACTAAATTTCATCACTAAAATTCAAATAAACTTTAAATCCAAATTTTATTAGTCCATTATTATATTTTTAACTCAATCAAATGATAATTTCCGCTAGTTTTATTGTTTAAATAGACAATGTTTTGCTTTGATTAACAAATTTTTTTCAAGTTAGATCCGAGAAAAAGACTGTGTACTAAATTTTACGAAAATCATGTACAAAATTTCAATATCAGCCATGATCATAAAATGTTATATGCACTCTTTTTTTTAATTGCCGGTTGTTATAGGTTTTTTATTCAACATGGCTACTTGAAGAAACCCGTTTAAAATTACAAAAAAAATTAATTTTTACATCCAATCAAAAACAGTCGTTTTATGCTGTGATGATAGAATTTAACCAATGGCTATAAACAATCATGATGATGCACTTAAAGAAGGAAAAATGTCTTTTCTTCGCCATTTTCAACCCAGGCTTAACTAAATTCATCACTAAATTTGACAATTAAAATTAAAAATAATCTTGAAATCAGAATTGTATTAGTCTATTATTATATTTTTAATTCAATCAAATGAAAATTTCGGCTTGTCTTATTTTTTAAATAGACAATGTTTTTCCTTGATCAACATATTTTTTTTAAAGTTCGATACGACATAAAGACATTGTGTATAGAATTTTAGGAAAATCACGTTCAACAATTCAACCTCAACTATGGTCATAAAATCCATAAAATTTTATAAGTACACTTTTTTTCATTCCCGGTTGTTAAAGGTTTTTTTACTTTATACGGCGGCTTGAAGAAACCCATTTAAAATTACAAAAAAATTAATTTTTACATCCAATCAAAAACAGTCGTTTTGTGCTGTGATGATAGAATTTAACCAATGGCTATAAACAATCATGATGATGCAGTTAAAGAAGGAAAAATGAATTTTCTTCGCCATTTTCAACCCAGGCTCAACTAAATTCATCACTAAATTTGACAATTAAAATTAAAAATAAACTTGAAATTCGAATTGTCCGTTATCTATTATTATACTTAAATTAACAAAAGCTTAAAGGAGAAACCTTCTGCTAGTTAAAGTTATTTAAATAGACATAGTTTTTCTTTGATTAACGGATTTTTCTTTAAGTTAGATCATGGCATGATCATGAAAATCATGTTCAACGTTTCAACACGAATCCCAATAAAGTAAGCAATTATTATGTCAATAGGATCAGATACAAAGATCGATTTTATCTCATATGTACGTAAGTACTATCGAAAAGACAGAAATTCTTTATTAAAAAAGGAAAAAGTCGTCCCTAGCTTCCAAACAGGTCGAAAAGAAAGCGTCGTAGGAGGCTTGTTTGACAAAAATTACTACAATAAACACAATAACACAACCGAACTGCTTGATCCGAGTAGTAATTCTAAGAAAATATCATATTTTTTTGTCTTTGATTTCTCAGTCTAGTGATATCAGATCCGAAAGTAGATTTGAATTGGGCGACTGCACTGAGAACTGGTTAATGTGAAAGTTAAAAAAAGAAGTGCGACTCCATTCCGTTTTTGATTATTCGTTTAATATACCTTGGCTATTATTAATTTGATACTGTTTCTTCACGAAAAGAAATTCGCCTGTTTGTGGACATAAAGGGGGATCTTTTTATTATTTATTTTTAGATTTGAGGTGAAATAATTTCCGAGAGAAATCGTGGTTTATAAAGCACCGATATGTTGTTATTGGAATAAGCGACCGGGATGGTTGTATTATGAGAAAGAGTTGATTTTTAACGATAAAACGAGTCAGGTCTGTCTCGACCTCTGGCTTTCGAGGCTGGCCCATCTCGTCGGTCATACGATATTCTCCATGACGATATGTCGGACGGCGACGAATCAGTATTGGATTTCGGGGAATAAAACACGGCAAAGGACTTAAAATAGAAATTGTCCGACACAGAACGATTCTTCCTCCCTAACCCAAATTTCTACATTTCACTTGTTGACGTGGCCCGACGGTCGGATTGAATCAAAACGACACCTTTTCGACGATGAAGTCGGATAAACGCGTACGACGATCGTCCACAGACGAAACGGCAACGATTTTAACAACAACTGGCCAAATCGTTTTGATTTTCCGTGTTAAAATATGGCGACATATCAGTCTAGAAACAACTGTTACACCACTACAAAAAATACAAAACGCACTAGAGAATCCCCAGGAAGCCCTTTGAATACAAAAATCCACTTACCCTAATCTTAAGATATTCTTCTATCGCTCTGATCGCAGAATCCGTCAATTTCACAAATATTAAAGATTTATTTTCATTAAAATGTCCCTGTGAAGTTAAACCATACTGAACACCTGCCACCAGCGCCGCCATCTTCTAACTCAAAGCTTCTCCTTCAAAACCAGCTGACTGTCTCCCTACGTCAAAAACGGCCTCTATAAAAAAATTACGGACAACTCGATCTTGTCAATTGTTAATAACATCTCAACACAACCTACAAATTAAATCAATTAAAAATACTATTAATTAAATTAGAATTCATTTTTATAAAATGTGTATTGATAAGAATATTATTATTACAAAAACACCTTCAAGTCAGGTCAAATCAAGGACAATCGACTTTCGATAGCAGCGCTAAATACGTTTAGTTCCTATAAAAATGCGCGGTTCAATGAATTTCCTGTATTTTCGAATGATAAATTCAAAATTTCATTTTCACCAAATTCTCTCTACTTATAACACTGTACTATCTTAAAAGTCTTAATGATGTAATTGCAATGCTGTAATTTCCCCTAAACTGAAACAAAACAATTGATGTTCATCAAACAACAAGCAATTCCATGAGATCATTAATATTCCTGACATAAATGATCCTAATATAAATATAGTAGTTTATAACATAAACCATTCAATCTTGACAGGGGCAAAGGCATACCAAAATCAAAGGGCACAAGTCCACGGACATGTGGCCCTGTGAAACTGCAAAAAATTGTTTAGGAAGTTTAACAGGGAGCTAACACACAAAAATTTGCAAAAATATAAAATATATAAAGGAAAAGCGAAAAATTTTCAAAATTGCTCATAAATCGTCTTGGGTAAAATTTACAGAATCACTGTCCCAACATACTCCATCATTAGTATGGGGAAAACTAAGATCAATCTGTAAAAAATATACACCCTCCACAATCAATAGTTTATACATTGATGGAAATATAGTCATAAATCTCAATTAAATAGCAATCACTATTGATCAACAATTTTCTTTAAATTGAGATAACAGCTTTTACAATAAATCATTTTTAGTTAAAAGTCTTGCAGCATTGTAACTTAAAATGTTCAGAAAGAATACTCGAAGGATTAAAATTCTCCTTTAAGACCAGCCATTCTGGTAGATTCTTCTCTCCCTTACGCAAAAATTCAATTAATAACTAATCTCCAGACAGTTGCTATTTCATTAAATTCCCCTTGCAAATTTACAAATTTAACTGTATATTTTCGCCCCCAAAAGATCATTTGCTAAAAGAAAATTTAGAAAACCTAATTAAACAATTGCCTGTACCAGTTATTATAACAGATGATTTTAATACCTACAGAAAAATTTGGGGGGCAAGTTGCCCAAATTTTCATGGCAAAGTAATTGAAAAAGTCAAAGATAACTTTAATTCTGCTCAATAGCGCTGAATGTATACTCCTCTATTGATCTAACCTTTTGTCATCCTAGACTATTCTCCTTAATACGTTGGTGTACCTTAGATTATTATTATTATGGAAGTGTTCATAAACCCATCAAGATATCCTTAAATCAAGCATAAACCAAAATGGCTCATGGAAAAGGCCGATTAGAAAAAATTCCATGAGATCATTAGTATTCCTGATATAAATATGGTGGTTTATAACATAAAGCATTCAATCGTGTTAGGGGCAAAGGCACACCAAAATCAAAGGGTACAGGTTTAAGACCATGTGGCCCTGCAAAACTGCAAAAAAAAAGCTTTGGAAATGTAACAGGGAGTTAACACAAAAAAAATTGCAAAAATATAAAATGATAAAGCAAAAGCGCAAAAGATTTTCAAAATGGCTCGTCTTGGTAAAATTTATAGAATCACTCTCCTAACATATTTCACCATCATTAGAATGGGGAAAACTAAGATCAATCTGTAAAAAATATACACTCCTGCAATCAATGGTTTATACTTTGATGGAAATGTAGTCATAAATCCAAATGAAATGACAATCACTAGTGGTAAACAATTTTATTTAAATTCTGATAACAGCCTTTACGATAAATCATTTATAGTTAAAAAATTGAAAATGAAAATATGAAATAACTCCCGTAATATAACTAAATAATCCTTTAGACCTCCCTTTTACTATGGAAGAACATGAATTTATATTGGCATGAGTCAAAGGCAAATCCCCTGGACCTGATTGCTACATTATGAAATGTTTAAAAATCTTCCAAAATGTTTAAAACACAGTTCCAAAAACTTTATAGTAGGATTTACCTAGAAGAAAAATTTCTCTCAAATTGGAATGGAAGCTGAAATAATTCCACTATTAAAACCTGGGAAGGATAAAACTTCTGCATAAAGCTATAGGCCAATATCTATAACTAGTTGTCTAGCGAAGGTCTTGGAAATTATGGTCAGCAAGTGCCTAGGATGGTATTAAAATTCCACATACTTCTTTATAAAACATCAAGAGGATGCTGTCAAAATGCATACAAAAATATAGAATATTTAGTTGCGACCTTTTTAGACATCAAAAAAATCCTTTGACTGCACATGGAAACATAGAATACAAAAAATATAGTAAATGGCAAAATGTTAAATTACATTAAAAGTTTTTTAAGAAATAGTCATTTAGGGTGAGGGCTGGTATTGACTAATCCAGTTTTTTTCCCATTGCTAGTGGGATTCCCCAAGGTTGCGCTTTAAGTGCTACCTTATTCTTAGTTATAATAAATGACATAATATAATTCCACGATAAGAATGTCAAGTTCGCATTGTTTGTCTATAATTTTGCCTTATTCATGACACATAAGAATGTGGACGGAGCTGAAAAATTTTTACCAGCAGCACTAACACAAATTGAAAGTTGGATTTAAGGTACAGGCTTTAAAATATCACCACTAAAGTCACAAATTAAATCTCCAAATATTCATTTATTGGTCATAAATTTATTTCAAGAAAACGACGAACAACAATCAAAATTGGTCGAACCAAAACTAGCGTATTTCCTGGAAGAGGGCATCTTGCAATGAAAGATTTTATTTGTAATGTTGTAATTTTCAAGTCATATGTTTACTTTCGTGTTTGTTTTGTACAATTTGAAACTCGTGTAGAAAATCACGTGTTCTTTGTCGGCATGGATAATATCTTAATTGGTCAGAAGATCGTTCTTACAGCTGATGCCAGATTTGCCCCGTTTAAGGTACTCAATAAGATTAATCCTGAAACACTTTTTCCCAACTCCGACGGGATAAATTTGTTCTTTAATAAAGCCTTTTTCTGTCTTTAAAATTTTTAAGCAGAAAAACTCCCGAGGTGAAAACTGTATTCACGAAATTAAAAACATTGAACTCGTTAGTAAACACAATAAATGTATAATACAAATAACGTAAAAATCTCGTCATAAAACGTTCGAAATTGTCATACATTTGAGAAATTGGGAAAATTAATTATTTACTATTTACTAATTATTAAAATTTCTACGAATTAGCGTCGAGATCCAAGAAATATGAGAAATGGATTTACAAATATGTACGGCCATGTTGGAAAGATTAACTAGCCTAACAGACGAAGTGTTTCAAACGAAAATAAAACCAATTTTATAAATTGAATAATTCTTTTTATGGGGTAATTAGACATAACAGCTGACTCATTTTTTGGCTTTTGAATGCAATCCGGTACTTGAAATTGTACAACAATACAATAAAATGTAATTCTAGATTTTTTCCGGCGGCGAGTCCGAGGAAAGGTTTAAATAAATTATTTTATGTGATTTCACATACAAAATAAGACAGTCGGATTGTCAATATTAGGTAAACTAATAGTAAATGCGAATTTGGAAAATTTTCATATAGTTTGGAACTGAGTCATAGAAGAAAGGTCATCCTCACCCGATTAAGGATAGGCCATACCAGGTTGACACATGGACACTTACTTTTAGACCAAAGCCCATGTATATGTACGGCTAATTCTGGCATGTAGGGAAAGGTTGCTCAATGTTTATTTATTATATTTTTTGGATTTGTATAAGTTCATGTACAGAGTTAAGGCTATCACATCTTGCAGTCCATCAGCAATTCCAGCTTTTGTGATTTACAATAAATTACCAGCAAGTTTTGAAAATCACCTACTTTGGTTGTTGGCTGTTCAGGGACAGACCTTGGCCTCTTTCTTCCAGCCAATGAGGTTGTGCTCTATCAACAGCTAGAACATTTCAGCCTCCAATACAATCAGACTGCAAATCCAAAACCATTCACATCTCATTCACTATAAAAAACATTTTTTCCTACTTACACAGCATTTAGTCAGGGTGGTGGAGTCCTTAAACAGTTAAATCATAAAACAGCCCTGTTTCTTCTAAAAATCGAAACAGAGGACCCAGAAACTTGCTGCCATACTTAAGCAGAGTTCTTATATTGAATTTTTGTAAATGATGGTTCTACTCTCAGATTTGTTGTTTACAACAAATATAGCATAATGTTTCATTCTCCTTTGATAATGATTATTGGTGACGTTGAATTTTATTTTGACTTTATTTATTTTACCGATTGACGGATGACAGCATAGTGTTAGATTTGAGCCATCCCATATGAAAAAACTCCGAGATGAACGAATTGAAGATGAAAATCCTCAATTTTATGCACATACAAGTGAATTTGAAAATCTCCATCATCGGCGGCTTCTTGACCATCCAGCAGCAAAATGTACTCAACCCCGAGGATGCTCCCTTCATGAAGGGGAAGTAATTGTAACCACCCTCGGACCAGGAAATCCTCGAGGCAATCAATCTGAAAAACATTCCTCAATGGAAAATGTGTTCAATCCTGGAAGATTCGAACAAGAAAGTTGTTACAATGGAGATAGAAGACCAGTTACACCATTTAAAGCAAAAAGTGGTTGTTTCAAACCGTGTTGCTAATGATTCTAAAGAAACAGTTTTTACCAAGGTAACAGAAATTCAGGCAGAATGTGATATGATTTGATGAAAGATGCTCAAGTATGAAGAGCTGAGCTCCGGATGGCCACCAGACACTTTACTACCACAACCTTGGCATTTTAGCAAACTATGGGAAATAGACTTTGGTCCAACAACTTTTGAGCTTTGCAGCAGGATGGACTCCAAATTACGATAGCTTCTCAATGCTGGGGATTTTCCTGGTGATATTGGTCTTCTCCTTGAGTGCCAAGGTGTAGCTAGCACTTACAAACATTTCTCATGTGTAGTGCTATGAGTATAAGTATGATACTTGCTGGAAATGGCTGAAGAAAAGCTAAATACCACATTCGCTGAGATGTGTTGTGTCTTGGAAGAAAACATACATGGCAAACTTTAATCAGCATATTTTCTTCTTGGTAAAAGGCAAATAGCAATGGATTAATTTCCGATGCATTTCGCTTCTGCATTACAAACCACAGCAAGTATTGTGCGCAACTTTATTGACCCTGGTGAGCAAAACGTGATTAATATGCAGTATTCTTGAAATGTGTAAGGAAGTTAAAGAAGAAAATTTTATCCCTTGCCTTCTCATTAAACTTTGTCAAAGCTCAATTGAAACTAGCTCTGCTGGAATGAATTTCTTCAGTAGGTTTCCAAACTGGCAATCCTATTCGCTCTCTATGCGGATCCATGGAATTGCACCCTTCATTTAGGTGGGACATATTGAGCAACCTTTTTCAGCATGGTGAACACGTATAATGCCAATCTCGTATGGCCTATCCTTAATGGGGTGCGGATGAACCTTCTTCTATGAATCAGGTTCTCCAAGGGTCACCTCGTAATGCTACTGCTCTTGATATGTAAGAGCTTCTTTGCCAATCCAGCCCACCGATGCTGCCACCTTCTTTTAATTTTTTTTTTATTGCATTGTTGGCGTCAGGGGGCCAGATTGTGTGGTTAAATCTGAATGTTGGAATGTCCCCCAGCCTTGGGCATCTTTATCACACTGAAATTGGATATCAATATTAGTGTAATTAGATATCACAAAACTCCAGATAACATAGGAAGAAGTGTTAAATAGTTCAGATATGTTTCTATGAGTAGATTGGGGACAAGATGACAGACAGGTAAAGCGGAATTCTAGCTTTAAAAGTCTAAAGTTACAACATGAAGAGAGTCAGAGATTTTTGATAAATAATCTAAATGCGACTGTCAATAAAAATAATTAAAACTATGTTTAAGTTACGAGATTATATTTATTATTACAGTATTATTTCTATTAATATAAAATGCTTTATTTTATTAATACACAAATAAAATTAAATTTAATTGTACAATTTAAACAACTTAAATTAAAAAATAAAAGGAAAACAACATATTGGGAAAATAAAATATACAAAAAATTAAATATTCATGCAAGCTAGTTTCAAATTGTATTATTTAATATTTAATAGCATTGTTTGAATAAATGATAAATTAGTGTTATTGATCTCAAAAATATTTTCTATTACAGTGCCTTCATTGTCCTAAACTATTTATAAATAAAATTTCATTAGACAAGCATTGGATTAAGCACCATCCACACACTTATGATTATCAGGTAATTAAACAAATAAACTCAAATATTTATTCTATTAAGCATAAAGTAATTATTAGTGATTGTTGTGTTGTTGTTATTATTTTCGTTTTATCATTGCAGAATGGTTCAATGTTTTTTCAAGAAGATGAAATCTGTTATCAAAACAAAAAAGACATATATGACAGGAATAATACTCTGCTGTCTCAAATCGGTCAATACAGATTGGACAAGCACAAAGAAAAATCTACTAAAGTTAACTTATTTTCAAAAACATCTGCATCAAACTATGCTGATTCAAACATTTATAAAATAAATAAAAAAGTACCACTAATTGAGACGAGTGCAAATTCCTCTCGACAAAATGTTCCCCCAGACAATTGGAACAACGAAACTAATCGTTCAAAAAGAAGAAAAAATAGAACCAAAGAACTAAACCAAAGTACAAGTTACTCTTTAGGAAGAAAAAATATACATGTTCAAACTGACAAAACTGTACCACATAGGAGCCATTACAGTTCAATTCCCTTGGCATCAAATACTTGCAATTGTTGCTTTGGAACTTGCAATTTACATTTTCAGGATATTCAAAAAACAAACAATGTTATGTGTAACACTGTAAATAATTTTACTTCAAAGTGCGATGAAAGTTCTCAAACTTCTTCATACAAAAACAACACGTTTATTTCCAATGCTTTCAGAACTAAGGAGGCATCTACAATAACAAAACCTGAAAATGTAAGCACGCAAACTTACCTAGAGAGTAGTGACAACTGTTTAGAAAGGAAAGAAATTATAATTAAAAATTATATAATTCAGACAAATGTTACCACGCAAACTAGCTTAAACAGAAGTACCAACACACATAGTGAAGATTCGGAAGATGAAGTTGATTTTTGTAACTTTGGAAGACAAAGTCCACACCTGAATACATCTACACAAACAAAATGTAACAAAAACAAAAAGGAAGGAAATTTCAAAAAGCAACATTTTAACGCAAAAATTCAAACTTTTTCAAATGAAGATGAAACTTCTACCATCGGCAACGGTTCTTGTTTTAATTTCAAAAACACTGTTTCTAAATGTAATGCAACAACACAAACTGTTTTAAAGAAAACTTCATTAACTACTGAATTTGAAGGAAAATTCCCCAGTTCTAAGATACCAATCTCACAAATTAACGAAACAACTCAGACTTCTGAAAAAAATAAAAAACAATTCATCACAGAAAGAACACTGTTAAATTTGAGAAAAGATATTTTACAAATGAATACAACCACTCAAACTTCAAATGAAAATGAAAACTCTTCCATTTCACAAAATGAAAAAAACACAAATAGTTATTCATATATTTTAAATAAAATTACACAAACTGATATAAAAACAAATAAAAAGGATGACAGTGCAACACATAGGAATACAAATTTTTCAGTAAGTTTTAAAGAACAAGAACATTCAATGAATGAAAAACAATCCATTTATGTTAAGGAACAAGCATCACAGGTGGAAGAAAATATCCAAAAACTTAGTTCTTTTGTTAACATACCATCACAAGAACACAAATACAAAATAAATAAAAAGCATTGGGATGAGTGTATTCAGACTTGTTTAGATAAATATGACAATCATTCTTTTGATATTTCTGCACATGATGATCTGGCCTTAAAAAGAAAGGGATCAAAGCAGGATTTTTGCGCTATGAGTAAAAAGTGGGATGAGTACACTCAAACTTGTTTAGACAAACAGGTAAAAGTAAATTCTGATGCTGATGCAGCGTACAATGAATCCTTTACAAGACCAGAGACACAGTGCGATGTTTGCAACAGAAAGAACCCTGATCAAAAACATTTGGATGAATGTGTTCAGACTTGTTTAGGTACAAATGAAAACCAATATGACATTTTAGCACATTCGAAGACAGAAACAGAATGTAATGTTAATGACAAAATTGAAAAACATCCAGATGAATGTTCTCAGGCTACTTTAGACAAAAAAGAATCACAAAGTAAAGAAATTGCTCCAAGACCAGAAACTCAATGTAGCGTTTGTCATAGAAATGATACCATTACAACGCATTTGGATGAAAGCGTTCAGGCTTGTTTTAGCACAAATAAAAACCAAGTTCAAGCTATTAAAGCCCACAATGAACAAACTGTCCCAAAATCAGAAAGAAAATGTAGTATTTTCCTCAAAAGTGATACAAATAAAGAACGGTTTGATGAATGTATTCAGACTTGTTTAATTGCAAATGAAAATAAAATTGATGTTGTTTCAGCTGACAATCAAACTATTCCAAAACTGAAAATGCAATGTAATGTTTCCTTCAAAAGCGACTCAAATAAAAATAATATTGATGAATGTATTCAAACTTGTTTAATTACACATGAAAACCAAATATTTGGTGCAAACAATGAACAAACTATTCCACAACCAGGAACACAAAATATCATTCCCAACAACATTTTTTCAAATAAAACAAAACTGGACAAATTCATCCAGATTTCATGTGAAAATGAAAAACAACCTTTTGACATTGTAGCACATAGTGAACAAGATATTACAGGGCTAAACATTTCTAATAAATACGATATTAATAAAGACCATTTAGATAAATGTGTTCAAATTTGTTTTGACCCTAATATAAACATTTCATCACTGAATAATACGGAAAATAAATCTCTAGGAACACAACTAAATAATAGTTCAAACTGCAATAATGACATGTTGCCTAAAAGTGTTTATACATTGGCTAATTTGAAACAATTTGAATTACCAACTCCAATAAAAAAATTGATCAAACAAAATGAAATTAAATCAGTACTAAATTTTCAAACTAGAAGTGATGAAAGAGCTAGTATACAGTTCATAGAACATATAAATCACGATCAAAAACTTTCATCCAGATGTGGAGGAGATACAAAAACGAGAAACAATGAAATAACAGATAAAAGTTCTACTCCTGAATCAAGCCACTCCGAAGAAAATTCAATTTCAGAAAAATCACCTGAACAAAAGAGTAATGATGATTTTATTTCAAATCAGCATGCTTCCATTGATTTTAATAATGAAAAAAATTATGGAAAAGATGGAAATATAAGTCCTTCAAATATTGGAACTAGTGAAAATATTGTGTAAGTATTATTACAAGAACTTTATTATAAGGTTTAAAATTAATCAGTTGATATTGCAAAAAGTAAATTAACACATAAGCAAATAAAAAAAATTCAATTCGACAGCCTTGGGAAAGGAGAAGCTGGTCCTATCCTGCCTGTAAAAAAAACATCAAATTCATTTTAGACATCGTAAATCTCTATGCTTAAGCAGTTCTATCCTGGAGTCTTTCTAGATGACTTACAGACGTTTGACCATGCCTTTCCTTTCTAGTACATATTATTTCACCTAACCTAGGTGTTTCTTTTCAGCATATACACAGCAGACTTCCCTAAACACTCTAACACACTCATTCTTAATTTGCTGACAATTCTTCACTTCCTACAAATCTCAATCCTGTCACACCAGTTCGATCCCTCAAATATAATTTCCTTACCTTAGAAATAAATAAGTAAAGTAATTCCTCTCTCACAGGAGGGCTACTTTACAATACTTTCTCTATACCATTCACAATTAAAAATCCATGGGCTATGCCGGGGATTTGAACACAGAACTACTAGAGTGGCAATTACAAGTCAGACACCTTAACTACTCAGCCATGCAATTCCTTACCTTAGAAATATGGTACCATAAATGGAGAATAAAAGGCAATTAAAACAAATCTTAATGTGTCCTTTACCCTCTAATGGAAAATACTTCCTTCTATTTATCTGAATCAAATTTCACTTCATACTGCAAAATACTTATACCAAATACTTGGGACAGTATGTAGAAAAAAGAATGACATAGAATCCAAATACACAATGTAAAACAGCAGAATTGAACTACAGATACAGGACACTGTAAAACATACAAGACTACAAAAAATTGCTTGTATGAACCTGTCTAATTATTACAGTAATTATGATGAGTACGATGTTGTTGCCTCATAGGCAAATGAATTTGTAGAATGGAGTAGGGCCATTGAATGTCTGATTCATTAATATTAATGATCATTTATTATTATTTTTTTTTACGAAGGTTTGCAACAGCATCAACCCTCGAGGTGCCAGTGTTTTTGAAAAAAAAGCCCATTTGTAAGTATCGGGTTCAAAATAAGGGCCGATGGATTCAAACCCGGTACCTTTACCTTACAGTGATGAGCGCCGTGTCAACGCGTTAAACTTAACACCTAAACTGTTACGGCCACCGATGCTCCCCTATTATTATTATCATTGCATAAATAAATATCAATGTAGATTTAAAAAAATTGATAATCACAAAGAATTATGGAAATTTTTGTTTTTGGAATATTTAGGAATCAAAATTATTCTAAATAGTTGCTAAAAGGCTGAAATAAATATATATAAAATTATATAGCAACCTTTATGTTTTTATACTTTAACTTTATTTTTGCAGACTAGCAAATTCAGATGAATTACTAATTCCACAAAAGCTGCAACACTTACAAGGGTGTTCTTCAGAGAGCGAGTAAATATCTTGTTTTAATTAAAAAAATTAATTTAATTAAGTTTAACTTTCTGTAAAAGTGTAATGAATTTCTTGAATGTAAAGTTGTGAAGAAATAGTGAATATTGAAATTAATCCTAGACAAAATTTCACTTTCATTCCACTAACAAAATCACACTTTGTATTTAAGTTACATAATTGTTGTTAATGTTTTAAGCCGATATTTTAATGCAATTGCTTTTTCTTTTTAATTTTTTTTTTTTTTTTTTTTTTTTAGCAGTATAGTACAGGATTTTTACATGAATTTAACAGACCTTGGTATTGGCCCAGATTGGAAGTTGTTGAAAGATGAAACAATGCAGAAAAGTTTAGTGTTATTAAGCGCAAAAAGGATCAGTATGAAAAAGGTAATACTAAAGATATGTTAATGGACATTCTATTAAGTTTGTACTTACTCAACATGATTTAAAACCTAATGGTAGCAATAATGATTTTCAACTTCAAATTATGTATATCACTTTTGTTTGAAGATTTTTTTGTTAAATTTCTTCTATTCTTATTTATTAATTAAATTCTGGGTTATTTCTGATCTTTTTTAGCATTGTACTACCATCTAGCTAATAGCATACCACTCAATTGGCTATTTTAACTCTTTCAGGAAGTCAGAGCTCTTCATTCCCCCGAAAACTATTTGTTCATATCATGCTCTACTCTCTTCACATTTTTATATGTTAATTTTTCTTATATGCAGGGTGCTGTTTTATGTTAGCTCTAGTAAGTGGGAAATTTAGAAAAAATAATGGTGTTGTTTATTGTTTTAAGCAACATCCTGCTTGTTTGAATTTCAGTCAAAACGTGAAGAGACAAGAGTACAATATTATGCTCGCAGCACCTGAACAGGGTCAGCTTGATGGCAGGCTCTCTCAATACATCATTGGGGAAAGAAAGAGTGCTACATCACGCTCACCTTCTTGATAGTGTGGTCAAATAGTTAAAATTTGTGTTCAATTTTGATTTTCAATGAATTTGCATAACCACTGAGCAACCGTTTGATTTAAAACTTGGTCAACTTGAATTATGAAAAATAATTAAATAAAATGAACCAAATCCACTTTTTAAAATGTAAAGTAATATCCTAACACTTAGAAGTTTTCTTTTTCCCCAGAGTTTTAGTTCACTGAGAGAAAAGATACGCGATGAAGTGGACTGGTTTGTAAAGGAGAAGATGCTTAATAACACAATTAAATAAATATTTTATTTTTCTTGAGTTTTATTTTTTATTATCTTAAGATTCAGATACTTTTTCAAGCTTGACACATTGCCATAAACAAAAATTAAAATTAAAAAACAAAGTAATATCACTCTTAGCACACTTGTTCATTTGTTTCACACAAACAAAAAAAATTCTCTTTTTTCTATACCCTGTATCTATTGGAAAACAATTTTAAGGATGTTACAATTAAGAATAAAACCTGTTAATAAACAACGTTCGAATTTAATTGCTATGGGGTGAATTTATCAGTGTTACAAATAACTATAATTTAAAAAACAATAAATAAAAGTACAACAACTTAGTTTATTGTTTTAACTTTAATATTCACATTAAATTAATTCACAGTGTCAAAAAATTAATTTAAGCACTATATTAAAGAGAAGAACTGGCTGATGGTGAAACCTGTTCATAAAATAACAAATAAGCTTCACTCGACACAACATTCCTTGAAGAAGTTTGAGACACCCTGAAATAAAACAATGCTTGAAATAAAGGGAAAACAAAGCTTAAAATGTTATGCTGTGTTCAGCTAAGAACTGACACAATAATACAATAGAAATTGGAAGTTACCTTGAGTCGTTGAATTCGTACCATTGCTGATTTTTTCTATGCAAACAATAAGCTGTGTAGTGCCCAGAATGGGCTGAGCCAGAATGGTTGGAAACGGCATACAAATTATAAATACATGTTTGCTGGTTGCTTGAATATGCACTCATGTCCAAGTTAGTCAATGGGAATTCTACAGTTGCTGAAAGCTTTCTATAGCGCTCACTGGGTGAGAATCTCTTTAGATCTATTAATCCATTAAGGAATTTTTTTCACAAAAAATAAGTTTTTTTTTTTTTTTTTAATAAAAGGAACAATATATATGTGTTTTATTAAGCATATAGAAAGTAAGTAAAGGATACGAAGCACTAGGATTTTAGGAAATCGTTGAATTGAAAACCGTTTGGTACATTTTCTCCTTGTTTTGCATTTAGAACAAGTCTGAAATCACAATTTAATATCATATATATCACAATTTAATTTAGAAATTTATATAATTAAATTTTTGAATAAATTAATTTTTTTTCCTTTAATGTATAAATTATTACCGGCATTTCATCGCCATCAAGAATTTCCTCCTTAGTGAAATGATCTAAGCACTGTGAAAGTCGTAAAGATGTCGACGATCTGGTCGGAAGTGGAAGTGAAAGATCCCAAAACACTTCAAATGTGGTTGACTTGTGGTCACAACTTGTACATTGCAAGGTAGATTTTAGTTGTCCCACAAATAAATCGACTATCTCACTGTTATCAATTTGGAGATATTGTTTCCAACTTTCATTCGCTTTCACAGAATCTCTGCGAAATAAAAAAATAAATAAATCGTATTAGTTAGGTTTAATATTTAAAAGAAAAGTGTAAAAAATGAGGAGCTTTGGACATTGAAAAGCTTGTACATTTCTTAACCTATTCAGGACTGCTTTATCACCCCTACACCTCTAAACATGTAATGCGAGTGTGATTGTGATTCTGGTTCTTTAAAGAATGTTAAGGTTTTTATAGTGGGTGTTTTAAGATTTAGCTTCCTTCTAAAAGGTATATGTTTTTTTAGGGTTTATGTTTACACCCATTTTCTCTCATTATCTTTCTACAATGTTTAGGATGTTTTGCATCTGATTTGAGAGTTACCAGATAGCCTATGGTAAGCGTAAGTTAAAGCAGTTATGTTTTCTAAATTTCCCTCTCATTAGCACCAAAAGTAATAACTTAAACAGCACACTGCTTCTATGAACTTGAATCTAAAAATAAAGAGAGTAGAGCATTATATCTCATTTGCAGTCATTTGAACTTGGGGACGAAGAGCTCAGACCGTTCTGAATTGGTTAAGTAAAATTGGATAAAGGTTAGATTATATTAGATTAATGTAAGAAAAACTTCAATATCGAGATAAATTAAGTAATACGTTAAACTTTATTGTAATTTAAAAACTTACGTCAAATTGTCATCAATTTCTGGCAAGTTCTTTTGTTTCACAGTTACACGATTTATGTCATTATGAATCCCTTCCAAGAGATATCGAAGAAATTCTTGAGCGTCTTGCTGGTTGTAGCCCATAAATCGAGGAGCGTAACGTTGAATTTGACTTTTGAAAGAGGAAGTGTTTACTATTTTCCCACCTTCGCTCCAGAGTTCATAAATTACATCAGCAAAAGCTAAAAAGTAGTCAATCATTATACAAATATAAATAAAAATACTACAATATAATTTTAAACATATAAGTGTATAGTCAAAGTAAATGTGTGTTAGTATTCCACACAGACCACACATTTGAATTAATTAAATTACTGCCACAGTTTACAATTACAGTTAAATGAAACATATAAAGATTATTTCACATGGTGACTAACAAGTGTGTTATAACACTAAATGCACTGACACTTTTTACATGCTTATTGGTGCTTTAACTTGTCAAGTTTTAAGTCTTCTAGGAAAACTGTTTTTAATGATTAAATGCAGGTAATATTGCTACATGCTCAGTAGGACCTAGATTGTCTGATAACAGCTTTAAGCTAATGAAAAGCTTTAGATAATAATAGAAATTGCACAAGAGGCAACAATAAAAACAATATAGGTTGTGGCATTTCAGGTCATAAAGGCTTACTCCTTTTAACCTCAAACTTTTTGGGATTCATCACAAGTTATCTCATTTGGACTTGGAGGCTCCCAAGCCTTGTGACGAGTTTTATCTCATTGTCATCCTTACGTTTTGCATTTTAGGAACTCTAACTGGACCCTCATAGCAGAGCTGAGGTTTTCTTGTTATTTAAAAAAAAAAAAAGTTCACACACACACACACACACACACACACACACACACACACACACACACACACACTCTCTCTCTCTCTCTCTCTCACACACACACACACACACAAACACTCTCTCTCTCTCTCTCTCTCTCTCTCTCTCTCTCTTATTGAGCCTCAGCCTGTAGCCACTGCCTGCCCAATTGCTGCGGCCACCTAGTCCATGGCAACAGAGATGTGGAGATCATCACTCTCAGAAAGGAAAAGAGGTGTTCGGGCTTCAGAGACACAAGGTGTGGAAAAAATGAAGAGAAGTCGGACCGTCGTCGTGGTGAGTGATTCAAGGAGATGGTGTTGTGTGTTGTGCACTGAAGGTCGAGATCAACTCACTCACAGTGAGTGTAAACATTTTTTTTTTTTTCAAGGGCTGGCGTTTAGTCATTTTTTAGTCATGAGCTTCAAGTTTTTCTGTTTTGAAGTGTTGGGCTTTAAATTTATTTCATCTCGCCTAAGATTATTATTGAATTTCATGAAGCATTCCTATTCTGAAAAATCATTCAGCTGCAATATTTGTTTCCCCAACTACATACTCATATGTAGTATGTACATACCTAAATATATCTGCTATCAGTGTTTATAAATTAATTTATTTTTTGTTATTATGTTTTAAAATTTGTTGTCACTATTTGTGAAAAATAAATTTTCAATTAATAAATTCAACTTTTTTCTAAAAAATTTATTTTTTAATTAGTTCCATTGAAAATAATATCTATGCAATGCACTGTCAAATTTTGAACGGAACTGGTGCACCTCGAAAGTAGGAAGAGCAATTTGAAGTGAACACTTCGGATTTCAGTGTACGACGTAAAATAAATCAGGCTGAGGGGGAGATTGAAAATAACCAAGAATATAGGCAGAAGAATGTGAAAATGAAAATATAACAATTATGAAAACACCAGAATTTAAATTAAAAAAACAAAAAGTAATAAGCATATATTTTTTATACCTAGTTTGTTTTTTTAACATGGGGTACTATGTGTTTTGCAATCAATAACCTAGTCTTTTAATAATCAAAAGGATGTGAAATTAACAAAGAAGTAAAGTCGTCAAAACTGGAAAAAGCTTAAAAACACTCATAGTATAATTAGTGTAAATGTGAATGTTAAAAAATCTAAGAAAATGGCTTGAGGTAATTTTTAGTTTGCACATGCATTGCTGTTTACATTAAAAAAAAAGAAATCAAACAGAGAAAATTAACACTCTTCATTCATTAAGCATTCTTTAGATAGATCTAGAATAGCCAACATACAATTTTTGTCAAAAATGCATCATAATTTTTCCCCAATTGAATTTTTCACTAAATAGAAATTTAGGCAAATCTTTATTTCACTTTCTATAGTATTATCATTTAACACGTTGATTGGGCCTTAGTGGTTTAAAATTACACTGGTCAAGTTGGCACATTGTTGAAGCTTGCACCAGGAAAAAAGGAGGCGATGTTGACAAATATTAACATGTTAACTGTAATTTATGTTAAACTAAATATATATTTTTTAACATTAATTTTCTATATGCTAACATGGTATAAAATTTTTACATAAAACTGTTCGCTTATGTGAAATTTGATTGTAATTTACCTAATATGAAAACTCTATCAAATTTATACAAATTTGTATCACCAACACCATATTTGGTTATATATTGGATAAGCACATGCATGAAACTAAATTAAAAAGTGTATTAGAATGAAAGGTGGAACATTAAATGCAGTCCAAAGCCAAAATATACCTTTGATTAAAGACCCCTTTGTGTCAGCATTTCTGAAATCCTGAGAAAAGTCTCTGCTAACCAAGAAATCCTTCAGCAGACGTGTATGACTGAGACATTGTACCACAGAGTTAAGAAAGCACTATTTTTGTGATTTATCATCCGTCAACATCAACAAAATTACACATTAGATCATTGACTCGGTGTTAGCATAGTTAAAAAAACACTTACAGTATTGCCAATATTCCTTAGGCCGCTGAGTCCTGCAGTTTCAGAAGACTGGCTGGAGATTTCTTTCCTGGACACACCCGGGATACCTTTTGTTGAACTACCATCCTACCATACCCAAAAACATATTAATTTATACTATTATTTAAAACAATTCTAACACTTAAAATTATTATTACTTTTGTAAAAGCAAAATGATGCAACTTAAAAAACTCGTTTGAAAAATGTGCTTGAATTTTTACATTTCTAATGATTTAGTATCAAAAAGAAAAAAAATTATAAAAAAGATATGCATAATAGTATTTTTTTTAATGATGAAATAATCTATACATGGATGCATGTATCTTTCTTTTTGAAATATGGATTAATTAAAAAGAGATCTAATATATTAATTACTTCAATATAAATGTATCAGATATCCCAGACATTAAAATTTTCAATATAATTGAAAAATAATTATTCCTACTGTTGTTACAATTTCATTTATTCTCTATATTAATTTTGTATATGCGATAAGTTGTCTTTCTGATATTTATTATTAATTACTGAGTATACTAATCACTTCAGAATATGTTTCAATTTGAATGAAGTCATATCAGTAATGATGAAATTGTTTTTGCCATAATGTAATTATAATCATTTTATATTAACTGAAACAATTACAAGAGAACTTCTCACATAATTTGACCCAAATCATACAATTTTCCATTTTAATTCATACATGGACAAAGATTGGCAATGAAGACTCCTTGCTCAATGTGTTTCTCTCTTAAAATAAGTCATGAAATTTAGCAGAAACATATCTCTATTACATCTCACTGACTATTCAACTTTTATGTTGTAAGAAAAATAAACTGTTTAGGAAAATTCTAATAGGAAACGTTGTTTTGAGGGATGAAAAAGTGTGACAATTCACCTGTTTTATCATCAATGTTTTAAAATAAGTGTTCAAACAATTATACAAGTTAAGAATGTAATTGAACATCTAAAAGATGTCGTGAGTAAACTGAAGTAAAACATATTTTTTCATATGTTTAATACATAAATTGTAAGAAAATATGTCCGTAACAAATCATCATGTGCTTCTAAGCCTTTTATACCATAAAATGGTTTTCAAATTTAAGTTTTAGGAGTGTCACCATCGAGTGAGATATCCTCACATGTTTTCTATAGTGTTTTTACATATAATATTATTCAGTTTTACTACTGTAATTAATTTTACAGATGTAAAAGTCAAAAAAAGAACAATATTTTATTGGCAGTGTCATTTTAAAACAGCTGAATGTTAAATAGTATTCCTCAAAGAATATAGAAAAATGTTTCTTCTACATAGTTTTATTAAATATCTGTTTTCTTTAAAACGATTTCAATTTTTGTACTATTAGTGCTATTATTTGTTAAAATTGTAAATTTAATCTCTTACCTCAGCAGATAAGCTCTCTGATGATTCATATTTTCTGTCTTTTCTCTGAGAGGAAGTTAAAACAGAAGTTTCCTTCAGCCTTCCTAGCGTATCGGATGTTTTCAACGGTGAGGAAAATTTGCTATAACTTGAGCGCTGTGAGCCGGCTACATAGCTTTCTGGTGCGTAGGTTATTCTAAATTCACTAAGATCAAATGTGGTGTAATTTGACTTTCGTTGGTGCGTCAAAGATGAATACTTGGGCAGATCATATCCATTCACAGAAGACAACGAGGGACGAGATCTTGACGAGCTCTCTCTGTACGTTGACCGACTTGAAAAAGAGTCACTTTTGTCTTTTTCAACATTGTCATCTGTTAACGAGCTTGATCTTGATGATGCTGTCCCAGAACCCCTGGAAATTGGAACAAAATATTGCTACCTTCCAAAATATCAGGGAAACTAAAAAAAAATCACCTTAATGACAATTTCACCAAATTCCGACTTTTCATACCACTTTAACTTTTTATATTAATTTCAAATGACAGTTTTTTTATATTTTAAAAAGCTGTTTTTATTAAGTTTAAACATAAATTAAAAAAGGCAATTATTTTCCTAAGCCAGTTACCTGGAGTAGGAGTATTTTGACAGTGTGCTATCAGGAGATCTCCAGGAACAGGTGCTGTAGTTATACCTCAGCCTGCCGTAATCATTGTCCAAATTGCATCTGGAGCTCAATGCAACTGGCATGGTACTACTATCTCTTCTGTAATCCAGAGTTACTGATGAACAAGGCATCATTAACTACAACCAACTGTAATAAAAATGAACCAAGATTATAAATTATCTAAAATATCATCTAAGAAGCTTAATCCTATTATTTTTGAGTTTTTTTATAGGCCAAAATTTTACTTTATTGAAAAGATCTAGTATCTAAAATATAATTTATTATCCGGTTTGGAAAAAATTTACTTATACGTTTTGGGAGAAATTGACTGCTTCTTATGGGCTTGTCAATAATAATTTTATTCAACTAAAGGAAAATGACATCAGTTGGTCAGGATTTTTTTTTGCACTGCATATTAATTAATATAATTTGGGATGCATATCTGTAAAGGGCTTTCTAATTTCTTCCATTTAGCGTATCAATACATTCAACCCTGCTCAATTTAATTTTCCAAGATACATAACATTCTGACAGAACTGGACAGTCCGCAATGAAGTGAATATCTTCTTTTGACCTTTCATTGCATAAAGAGCATCGTCAACTACCGGCTGGTCGGCTAACTTGAAAATTCAGATTTAGAAGTCCCCCCTCTGACTTTAGCATTTGCATATAAAGGTAATAATTATCATTAAGATAATGGTTATTCTGTAAATTCAAACCCGAAGATGTATACTATTCCCGAAACAGTTTGTCTAAAATTCAGAATGCAATTTATTTTGAATAACAATTCTTAAATTAACCACTTGCTACTGTCGCCAACTGAGTAACAAATCCCACTCAAATTATTATTTTTTTTTTTGTACATCTCACACAAATCCTTATACCAGTATAAGTTTCTTTCTATTAATTCTTATATATTATATAGAAAATCAATTCCAGTCTCAACGTAAACAATGTAAATCAGTGTATTTCTAGGCTGGGTAAATAAAAAAATACATTTAACTTTTCAAGTCCTTCAAATTTGTGTACACCCCACAGTGCTTGCGACTGATCGAAAAATATTATACTTAACATTTAACGGGACCTCACGCTTTTTAATAAATCGATACATATTTGTTTAGTGGTCATAATTGAAAATATTAATTAATTGGACTGTTTAATAAAATTATCATATGTAGACATGAAACTATACTTGAAGTTAAAGGTAGTTTTTGGTTTTTAAACATTTAAACTCACCATGGCTAATGTGCATAGATCATAACGCAAAAAAAAAAAAAATAATAATAATAATAAAAAAATAAACAATTTTTTCGTAGCTTTAAGGTTGACATTGAATATACACCATAAATTTAAATTTGTAATTCTATCCTACACATAAGTGTTAAAATTGTTGTTAATCAATTAATTGGTTTAATTGTTCAGAGAAAAAACACCTCAACCCTGATCCCAATATGCCCAAGTAATAAAAAAATAAAAACTCTTATCTAATCTAATATATATTTACTCATAGTTTTTAAGAAGGTGTTAGGATATTAGGTACTGGTTAGTACCTCAATAAGGATCACACATGAATAACAACCTTATATAAAACTTGTGTTTTTATTTTCTATAGACCAAAATTAAATTAAGGGACAGGTTGTTCAAAAATTAAAGTTAATGTATATAATGTGAACTACACTGAGGCAAAAAAAGTGGCCACTCATCCTTAATATTTTTAATTATTTATTTATTGATTAAATAAATGTATAGTAAAATATACAAATTTATTGATGTAATTATTGATTTCATTACAACAATATTTGGTCTGTTTTAAAGGGTTAGAGGTAAATAAACACCGATGAAATCTCCAAAATTGTAAATAAATCTTTGAATAGGCAATCTTTTCTTTGGTAGGTTTTTCTGTAAAGCTTCTTTCTAATGGCCATTGGTTTGATTTTTTTAAGCTTTTTACAATTCAAATTTGTTTGAGTGATGGTTTTAAGTGATACAGAATTGCATAGAATCATAGTATGTATTGTTGGAAGATGAAGAAGTCAGGCGTAAGTGGTCAGGTTGTAAGCACATTCCCAGAACAACTGTCCGGAGGGCCTTCCATTGTTACCAAGATACTGGAGATGGCTCGAGAAGGCACAGATCAGATCGCCTTCATGTCACACCTCAAAGAGATGATCATTTTGTTTTTCAAATGTACTCCATAATCGACATTCTACTGCTGTTGTGATCAAACAACAACTTCAACAATTTAAGTTGTTGAAGTCAGTTGTTAAGTCGGTTAAAACACAGTAAGGTAAAGACTTTTATAAGCTGGGCTTCATGCGATAAGGCCTGCCACTGATGCAGAACTTCTGACAAGGCACAAAACCGCTGGGCTAAAATATTGTTTTCAAATGAATCAAGGTTTTGTTTGAGGTCTTCTGACAGCCGAGAGACGGTTTGGAGAAGAACAGGAGAGCAATCCCTGAAACATTTCAGTTGGTGGTGTATGGTTGCACAAACTTGACCTTCGATGGTTCCTAACAGCTGCGAGACACAATGAAGATGGGTTATTGGATGAAGGTGTTATATGCCAATAATTTGCGACTGTTTTATGCATGGCAGATGGTGACTACTTGGAATGAGCTTAAGTTCAATGTTTGGAGTGGCAAGTTTGTACTCCCGACTTAAACCCTATCAAAAATGTTTGGGACGGGTAGTCAAATAGGGTAAAGAGTTGTCCAGTGATCAGAGAATTTGCAGGAATTAAGGATAGCAAGTTTGGACAAGTATGAAAATATTCCATAACGCTACATTAAAAACCAAATGAAATCGATGGCATGTCGAATTCAAGCGGTGATTAATGCAAGAGGAGGGAATACTCTGTACTGATATGAATATTTTCTTCAATTTCCATAGCAACATTTTTGTTTTTTAATGTTTAAATTTTTTATTTGGCTCTATTATATTTTGTGAGGATTAAATATGTACAATAATCTCTCTAATCCTTTAAAATGAACCAAATATTGTTGTATATATAATCAATAGATGTTTGTCTAAGAGATAATTAAAAATATTTAGGGTGGCCACTTTTTTGCCTCTCAGGTTAAAAAACTAGTATCCTAATATCCTGTCACCTCCTTAAATCTATGGGTAAATGTATATAGATTATATAAGTTTTTTTTATATTACTTCGGCATATTGGGATCAGGGTTGAGGTCCTTTTTCACTGGAAAATTAAACCGATTAATTGATTAAAAACAAATGAACACTTAAATGTAGGATGGAATTACAAATTTAAATTTATGGTGTATATTCAATGTCAACCTTAATGCTACAAAAAAATTGTTTAAATGTTAAAAAAAAACCAAAAACTACCTTTAACTTCAAGTATAGTTTCATGTCTACATATGTGAATTTTATTAAAGAGTCTAATTAATTACGATTACTAAACAAATATGGGTTTATTAAAAAGTCCCGTTATCTGTTCAGTATAACATTTTTAGTAGTCACAAGCAATATTTTACGCTATGGAGCATGATTGTGGGGTGTATGAAAATTTGAAGGGCTTGAAAAGTTAAATGTATTTTTTGTAACAATGCTAACAGCAGAGGGGATACAGTTTTTATTTTTTTATTACTTGGGTTTATTGGGATCAGGGTTGAGGTCCTTTTTCTCTGGAAAATTAAACTGATTAATTTACAGTGTTTGAATTGATTAAAAACAATTCAATGCTTATAGAATGAGATAGAATTATAAATTTAAATTTATGGTGTATATTGAACAGCAACCTTAATGCTATGAAAAAATAACATAATGTTTAAAAATTAAAAAACTATCTTTTTAAACCATAACCAAAAACTATCTTTAACTTTAACTTTAAGTATCTAGTCTAAAATGAGAATTTTATTAAAAAGTGTGAAGTCCTGTTATCTGCTAAGTATAATATTTTTCGAGCAGTTGCATGCACTATTTTATGCTATGGAGCACGGTTGTGGGGTGTACGTAAATTTGAAGGACTTGAAAAGTTAAATGTATTTTTTGTAACGATGCTCAAAGCAGAGGGGCCACAATTTTTATTTTTCTTGGCCTATGTATGGACTATGGTTGAGAGCAGATTACTGAGAGTTGTTCTTTCCTATTATTTTTTCCCATCACTTTGTAAGTTCTTTTATCATAAAAAATATAAAAATTATAATAATTTTCTAGAAAAAAACGAGGTGGCCACTATTTTTTGCCTGTTGGTGTATTAAGTGTGGAGCTAAACTAGGACATCTATGTATAAGCAGTTTTTTTAGTTAATAAAGACGAGATAATTCATAATATAAGAGGTTAATGTTAAAATTTAACGTTCAAGGAATAAAAAGTAGTCGAGGCACAAAAATAAATGGAACGTTTTAAAATTAATGTTCACATGGCAAGAAATGGGAACATGAATTAGCAGAGATCCAATTAAGCGAAATAGGCCAATATTTAATAAATTGTTTTACATTTTATAATGGAATTTTTATGGATTGATATATTTTTTTTATTGTAATAAAATGTGATAGTTTTGTGTGACGGTAATATCCAACATTTGGCACATCGAACAAGCGCAAATGCGGTCTTGTGAAATTGAAAGCCGTGACGCAAATGGGAAAGGAATCATTAACACGGTTCTCTGCCCTCGATTTATGAGAAAGACAATTCACAAACGTTGATAAAAAAAAAAAAAAAAAGTCTCGACATAAAAAACAGTCCAGCCGGATTCATAAATCAGAAATAGACGGGGCTCGTGTCTCCGATTACATAAAGAACGTCGGGAAAAAAATGTAAAAGATGGTGAAATAGAAGGAAAACTCGGCCAACGGGGTGGATCGAGCCCCTAGGCCGTGTAAACGTTCTCTATTATTTCCGAGAAATGATACGTACCGGATATCGGAGTGGTTTAGGCCCTGGTGGTTAGTCCATTTTAAGAACTTTCCGCAGCCGTCTGACATCAGCCACGGGTCGAGTTGGGGCCGTGTGGCGACTGAAACGTCACTTCGCCATCTTTGGTGAGGCAGGTTAAGGCAGACCGACTGCCGGAGGCGCTCGCACTCGCCCAGCCCTACGCCACTTCACCGCTACCGTCATCCACCTCCATCATCAATCACTACACTGATCAACTTACCACTTTTACCTAATTTATTTATAACTCCAACAGACAGAATCGACAAGAGAAGTAGTCAAAAAAGAACAAAATAACAAAAAGAAAACAAAAAAATTTATTTTACACTGACAGGCAACAAATTCCACCCAATAGATTTTTACCTTCATTTTCTTGATAAAAGAAAATTCTGCCCTTGATTTGTCTCATTGTTTTTACGAATAAATATTAGTTTATGCTATGTTATGGGAATATCAATTAGAGGTAAACAGGTAAAAGCACTTCGCCCGCGACTGTCAACTAACCACATTGTCAATCACGATACGATCAATTTACATCTTTTACCTCATTTATTTATTTTAACCCTAACCATCCCTAAATAGGGCTTTATTTATAACTCCAACAGACTGACTCTACACAAGAAGTAGTGAAGAAAGCAGATAATACCAAAAATAAAACAATTAAAAAAAATTATTTTACACTGACAGGCAAAAAATTCGATCCAATTGATTTTANATATATAATAAATAAATGTTTAAATTCTTATAAACCTTTTACTATAATGTGGCAACCCGACGAAATAACGCAGCCATTCACTGTGCCACCTGTGCGTTTATTCAGTGTAAATTTTGCACAATCTACCGTTTCCAACAAACCAAGGTTTTTATAATTAAGAATTTAGCTAAAATTTTGGCAAAAACCAGCAATTAAAGAGTTTACAGAGAGCTAATAAGGTCAAAAATGATGAATACGAGGAGGTCAAAAAATGACCAAAACACCGATTTACAGCGAAAATCGCTCATTTGTGTAAATTATGAGCAAATTTTTGAGGAGCAGAGATTACTAGGTGATAATACCGTTGGAGTCGGTTTAATTTTAGATCTTGAGCGTCTGCGTTTTATTGAAAAAGGGGTACTTACACCGACAGGCTAAAAATTCCACCCAATTTTTTTTCATTTTATCGATAAAAGCAAATTCTGTCCTTAAAATGTCTCATCGTTTTTACCAATAAATATTTGTTTATGCTATGTTTTAAATTGGGAATATCAATTAGAGGTAAGGATGAAGGATTTTTCAATGATAAGTTTTACGCAATTTAAAAGGCTTATTCAGTCTGAGTTGAATTTTGAAGCAATAAACTGTTGTTTTCATCTTTGTTTTCTTAATTTCAAATTTTAAACATAAAAATGCCACTTAGTACCGAGGATGTTGCGCGTGGTGTGACACTTATTGATGATGGATGTTCATCAGGTATGCAGCTATTGCCATCGGTGTCCTCTACGAAACATTGTGAGAGGCCGTTAGACTATTCGAGAAACAGGGTCCTACCATGGAAGACCCGGTTTTGGACGCCCTAGGGTAACAGAACACGGATGCCGATTTTGTGACTTTGAAAATTTTGCGACCTTACTCCTGTTCAAGCGATGCAACAGCTCCAGGAAGTTCGAGGTGTCCAAATTTCTGAACGCCCTGATCGAAGAAGATTAAATCAATATGAACTGATGGCTTTTCGCCGCGAAAGAGGCGAATTGACCAGAACATACAGAGTTGCCCAGCTCCCATATGCTCGAGAACACAGCCGTTGGTCTTTGGACGATTGGTCTGCTGTACTTTTTATAGATGAGTGTAGATTTGCTCTACGATCTCCATATTCACTATAACTAATTTCTAACTACACTAGTTTATATGACTGTTCTTTTTAATCTTCTGACGGTGTTACGGTTATGTAGGAGTTTGGTCACTTCCACATTCACGTGCTGGCTGAGGCGAGTTGGCGTTGGCGGCAAATCTTTGTATTTCCGCCGTGACCTCAGGGATCTGAAGATCTTATTCCTTACGTACCAAGGTGCATTGACCGTGTTATGTAAGATTTTATTTTGAAGTGTTTGTATGATTTTAATATTGCTGTGTTTGGTACAACCCCATAGTTGATAGGACATGTTTGTATAATAATATTTTTGTATAGCAAGGTTGAAACCACGTCCGTCGATCAGTTTAGTAGTCTTAAACCTATTTCTGTCCCTTTTTTCTTCACAGGTACTTTCCATCTCAACTTGGCATTTAAGGTCATTGCCAGATATTGAGCTGTATTGCTGTATGGTATAATAGTTTGTTTGTAAAGTTTATAAAGTAATGTATTTATTACATAATTCCTTCCTAGCGAGTGTTACCGTGCTCAGGCATAATTCTCAAATTGGGTGGCATTTCTGCGCCCATGATGTATGGAGTCAAGTAATTGCACCCTTCAGTTAGGTGGGACACACCGAGCAACCTTTCTCTGCATGCCGGACACATTCGCGGAGTTTGGCCCAAAAGTAAGTATGGCAACTTTGCATAGCCTATCCTTAATCGGGTGAGGGAGGAACTAACCAAGCCCCTTCTTCTACGAATCGCATCCTCCGAGGAGCAGATCCGTCCTATCGACAGTATGTGAGTACACCACCTTCTTTTGATCATGTTTTTTAATGCATTTTTGGCATCAGAGGCCAGATCTGATTTTATCCGGACGTTCACCCCGAAGGGTTGTCACTCCCCGATGTGCTGACCTTAGTGCCTACACATCAGGGAGTTCACCAACCCTTTTATGTGGCTGGGTCGCTTGTATAAGCCTTTAAGACAAATGATCAGGAGATCGTCGCTTCCCTACCAACGAGGTTAGGCTCCAAGGAGATAGACATTAAGGTAATGTCAGTCCCAAACGCATGTGTCCGTCATGAAGAGAAAGGTTGCTCGACCTCTCCTAGTTGAGTGATGCATTTCCCTGGCTCCATATAGAGAACGTGCCATAGCAGCGAATATCTGTGTCCCCTGTTCCGATTATTGGAGGAAACAGGGTTGTTTTATTTGAATAATAGCTTTTTGTGGACCTAGCATGTAGGGACTGAATGTATTTATTAGCATGAACGTGTGGTGTGAATGGGCCAATGATGGGATTTTGAGTACACCATCAACTTTCAATTACCTCAGTTATACACTGATGGACAAATTTAACGCACCACTAAATTAATCCTTTATCTTTAAGAGCTTAATTCTTGTTTCAATCGACTCAGCAGGTCGTTTTATAATAAATACGAAAATAATTGTTTTCTCAGTTTTTGCATTTAACTCGAAAAGTATGGGGTTTACGAGATTAATTCTTGTTCCAATCGACTCGCAATTAAAATCATAATACACATTCTTTCGAGATTTATGTGGCAAACCCCTGGGCAAACTTTGACAGGAACGTTTTATAGCTTTCCCAAAAAAAGCAACCGTATTTAATTAAGTTACCATCCCATTGAAATAGTATGAGAGCTAGAGACAAAAGGAACCTAACCTTTACTTGTTTCTGTAAATATCAACGTGTACATCTGAGCAGGTCATTTTGTAAGAAGTATGGAGCCCTTCTATGGGCTGGTGATTCTAAAAAATTTTTTTATAACCCTAAAGTTCTCGATGAAGTGCCTAGGGCACACATGCTAGATTGCAAATGGAAGCACCAACCTTTGCAATATGTGAAGTGCCTTTCCATACTACGAGAAGCGACCATTAAGAATCATGAGACCATAATCAACGGCCAGACCTAAAAAAAAATCCTTTGGCGTTGATGGTTATATCCCTAGCGACCTTTAGCCTGAGAAAGCTAAAATTCCCCACACACCCCAGCTCATTTCTTCCAAGTTCTGCTCCTAGCCATTGTTACATTAAAGTCACCGACAATTGTCAAATTCAGGTACACATGTTCTAAAACAAATTGTTATACAAAATCCGCTATCACACTGCAAAGATATATTCCATCACAAACATACATTCACGCTAATAAATACGTTCACTCAAATTAAGGATATTATTTCAACTACGTATGAAAGGGCTCCCTATAAAGGACCATATAGAGGTATTGAATCAATTTCTTATTATAACCATTACTGTGCGTTATAAGTTGTTTAAAAAATTCAGGCAGGCCACACATATCCTTTGCACGCGCTAATTCCTTGAATTCTGTTAATATGTACTTTTACTACTTATGCACCCCATAAAGGCCATCTCCGCGGTCTTTCTTTGACGAAGAGATTACCTATGTGTCAGCGTGATGTGGCCTATCTTATTCGTTCTTTTTTCCCATTTCCTCTTGTCCACGATGTGGTCGACGGTGTTATTTCTTGCAGTTTATCCGTCATGGTGGTCCAGCCATTCTTTCCATCATTGATTTTTATGATAATTTTTCACAGCCGGTGGACTCACTGATGTCTCCGGGTGCAGCGGCATCCTTGCTTCCGTCTAGGTCAACGTGTCCCGGGATCCAAGATGGATTTATTTCTTGGCCTAGTTCTTTTAATTTATTTGTTTGTGCGTGAATTTCTTGGTTTGGTGCATCCATGGAAAACTTATGGCCAGGATGGCGCTGAGTGAGTCAGTACAGGTAATGAATTGATTATTGATTCCGTGAATTTATTCAATATTATTTTTAACCAATTTAGACAAATATCAAAATTATTGATAAAAATTTTAGTAAATTATATAATTTTTATAATCTGGAGAATGTATATTAGGTTTTATTATGATGAAGCGATCCACCCTTTTTTGCTTAATTATACCTTTATATTTACAATGATTTCAAGACCTTTTCCTTTCTCCAACTCAATTTGCCTGGAATGCTGGAAATATAAAGGTTTAATTTTTAAAAATTGGCAGATTAGTTCATCAACCTTACCTGCACAAGTTTAAAATATATTAATGTGTTTACATTTAGGAAATGGCAATCAGATCATAAGTACAATTTAAAATAAATGTCTTTATAACAACCGTCTAGACATAAGAATATAAACAACAAAACAACTTGCTGCTATGAAAGGTTTAATTTTATTCTTTTTTAGTTATATACAGTCACATAAAAAACATTTACTACGTAAAGCCAAAGCATAAAACAATAATTAATTTAAAAAATATATCAAATTTTTAATGAACATTTTTTGAAACTGTTCTGCTGAATTTTTGTTCTACTGCAAATTAGTCGACTTTAAACAAATTTGTATTCGATCTACAGAGTTATGTGCTTTCTAAACAAAGGAGCTTTAGAATATTGTCATCACGCCATAATTCGAATCATTTTGATTATTATGTGTATTATAACATGGCGTAAAAAGTGTCTATTTATGCTATTTTTATACATAAAAATAAAACTTTTATCCATACTCCCGTAGCATATGAAACAAAACTGTTAATTTTACTAACATTCATTAATTGCCTAAAAAATATTTAATTGTAAACATAAATTATAAAGGAATATAATGAAAAAAAAGTGCTATCACAGACCGGAAATTTAAAAGTAGGATATTCTATTAGATAGTTAAATAATACAACAAATACAATAATTATATAAGAATGGCTTTGATCCCTGCAGAATTTAAACCAGCAGCTCTAGCAGTAAAGCTTTTAAAAACAGAATTTCACTTTATTAATGAAAATGTGATGCTTGTTATTGCACTAACACTGACACCCGGATCGTGCTAACGTTTAATTTCTAAACTATATTGTAGAAAAACTTAACTTTTTAGTTGAAGATATGTGTCCTTTACATAATTATTATGCTTAATATTTAAAGACCACAACCTCATTTCACATTCAGGGATTTCATTAATTATATATATTGTTTAATTCACGAATGTATACGTGTTTTTTAATTTGCTTTTCGGTGTTACGTCATCTCTTAAAAGGATTGTGCAAAACTCGGTTCTCCAAAAAGATTTAAATTTATTACGTATTGTTTAACAATACTAATAAAGAAACTATTAAACATAAATATTCATCATCAAATAACAATATCAATAACGCTAAAAAAGAAGCTAATTTAATTTTTCTCGTTCTAAACATTAAACAATGCAACAACTGACTAAAATCTGGTCTACAACAACGGGTAAATGGTATCCGTTTTTTATGCAAATGCAGCATATTCATCGAAAAGAAAAATAAGCCGCCCACTCATTCCATCACTCGTTTTCAGAATACATCACATACATGAAGTAGGGTCAAACTTATTTTCAATTAGTGAATAAATAGTGTCGGTATAGTTGCCTAATTAGTATAATTTCAAGCTATAATGTTAATTCCATATATAATTATCTTAACATATAATATAACAATAGGTGCTGTTTTTTTTAAAATTACAAACCATCAGTTTTACAAACCAAAGGAACAGAAAGATTACATAGAAAAAATAGATTTTTTTTCATATAGAAGGACATGTTGCAATGCTGCACAGAAAGGTTTCATTTCTAAATTGTAAAACACCTATGCGCAGATCTGTGTCATGAATATTAAAATAAATAAATAAATAACACGATAGTCTCTGTTAAATTAATATATTTCTACCACCGACGAGCCGATAAAAACCTTGATGATTGCAAATAAAACAGACTTTTCTATTTAAAGCATAATGTAATTGTTAACTTATGTCAAACAAACTACTTATTGGAAAATGTGAGAAATTTATTAAAATTGTAATAGCAATATTTTCACACTTTCATCCTGCCAAAGTTCGAAAAAATATAGAACAAAAATATTTCCGATTAACTTGACACCAAAGGATAGGTTTTTATCCAACAATAAGCTAAACAAAGAAAATTATGTTTCATAAAACATATTATGTGACGATTTTTTGAGACTATTATTTATTGTTTTTCCTTTCTGCCCAGTGCATATTTATTCTGGTGATTTCATCACTGGAATTTCCAGGCATCATGGGATCAAACTTCCTTGGATCCAAAATAATTATATGAGAACAAAAGCGTTATCCAATAATTATTAAAATTCGAATTATTAAAGTTTTTTTTATTCCGGTGCACGAAAATCACATATGATGTGCATATTATGTTTAAAAAAAAATAGGTGAAAGATTAATTATTATATTGTCTAAAAATCAACTTCGATAAAATTTTCTGACTGTTTAAAACAAATAAAAATACTTTTTTCTTAATAATTTAATTAGAAGTTCCAAAATAAAAAATTGGCAATAATCAATTATTGCTGGGTATATAAAATAGAAATGCTAGAACTTAAAAGAGAAAAATATTCATGTCCTCACTTATCTTCCAACAAAATATTATTACTATATTTAAATTTAGATCTTTTCCCATTTTCGTTAATTTTATTACTGTTTTCTTCAATTTAACAGTTCTTCATCATGTCACTATGATCCCGAAATGAAAAATAACAAAAACGGAAACCGCTTTATAATAATTCAAAAACTCGTGACACAGATCCTTGCCAGGGACTGTACACATGAAGGTTGTTGATGACAATTTTTTTTTGAGATACAAGCTTAATTTAAACAGATATTTTCTTTGTTCTGGAGATGCGCTCACTCTCTGAGCTTGTGCCACTCGGCGATCTGCCTCCTCGGGGAGTTCCTGACCTCGTTCCAGTGGTGTTGTGCCGACGGTGAACTCTTCACCCCTCCCAGCTCCAAACGGCCGATTACCTGGAGAAGAAAAGGTGTTAAATAATAAAAGCCATGTGAAAGCCTTGTTGCTACATGTAACGGAATACGGAATCAAAGGGGATCTTTCTCACTACAAAGCGGGTTTTGCTGTAAACAAAGGTAAAAGCAGTTTAACATTTCATATCCAGCGAAGTTCAAATAACAAAAAATCTGGTGAAACGTATTCTAAACGGTAATCATAAGAATATTAGAATGGCACTTCGTTTTCGCGGACTCTGTCCAGGGGGGCGAACTTCGGGAAAAATTAATAATTACAAAAATAAACGTAGAATGAATAAATAAAATTAAAAACTAATAACAATGAGTAATGGAAAATAAAGTTTTTTTTTATTTTACAGCAGCAGTCATTGTGTTCTCCACAGAAATAGCTACGAAATAAATGCTAGCCTGTTTTAAAAAGTTTTGGATGATTAATTAATATTTATGAAAGGTATTGGTTAACATAAAAAAACAGTGTCACGAGCAGGATTCGAACCCACGACCTTCGGCTAAATACGCCGCTACTCTACCACTTGAGCTATCGTGACTTCGATCCGCTCGGACACTAACTTCTCATCTTAACCTCATCTCTCGAATTTTCCCTCCTTTTTGCCATTTTTCAATCCCGCTCGTGACACTGACATTTTTTTTCTCTTAACCAATACCTTTCATAAATATTAATTAATTGAAAAATGTTAATTGGTCAATCGGACCACGAACTGTAATGGGTTTTGGATGATGTTGAAGTCAAGATTTTTCACAATACTATGTGACGATAGAGTATCACAACTTACGATGCTAATCCAGGATTCTGGTTGGGCTCCTGACAGGACATTGCCACTTAAGAAAGCACATGCACCTATAGGAGTACAAACAGAAGAAACACTGTGCAGATATTGCCGAAAAATTGAAGAGGAGGAGACCGCAGAACACATTTTATGTTTCTGTAGGTGCAGGTTCTTGCAACTTGGACAAGAAAAATCACAAGCGAGATCGTACACCAAGGAACTGGCAAAGCTTGGAGGCTGGTTAATAGTCTGAAGCTGGCCAGTGAGTTATAATTAACACAGGAGCACAACAGATCTTTTTAGGTCGAGGTGCAATAGGCCTTGTGGCCACCTCTCTTATCCCTATCCCCTATCCCCTACGATGTTAATGTTCCAGTTTTGAGTTGAGTTTGTTGAGAAGGAAGAGGTGGAATGTTGTCCTATATTAAACGATTAAACGAAATTAAAAGAAAACAAACTGAGATCGCGAACGGCACGTTGATTGATGAAATATGTGAACACGACAATTTTTACACTTCGTCGGCTCTTTTCACCTCAAAGAAGCTGACGCCTTATACATGTCTTTTCTATGCCGACATCCTTACTCACCCCTTCAAAATCCAACGTACATAAACACAAAATAGCAAAATCTCATTGGCACTCTCGACACGACACGCAAGAAAGGCACAATTACACAGAAGACAAACACTTTGAGTAGAAATACTTTGATTGAATATATAAAAAATATATTTTGCATTGTATAAATTCACTTTCCTACATCCAAAATGTAATTGTTATATGTAAACAATGTTTGTAAATCCCAGGCCCTGAAGATGATCTCAATAAAGATCGAAACGTTGGCACGATANCTGATCTAAATTTTAACTAATCTTTTATGGACATAACAACCAGTTTAATTTAGCTATTAAAAAATATAATAACATAAAAGGTTACTAGGAGTCGGCCTTTTTACGACCTTGCCTAACACGACCTCTATTGGTCTATTGAGTAAAATGTACAATGCATTATTGTTAGATATTTGTAATGGGATGTATTTTAAAAGCGATGAATTGATGGTGGGTTTAGGTCTCCGAGTCGGGTTGGAGGGTCACTTACTGGGACCGTTCATGGGTTTTTATGTTATTTTATTTATTTTTTTAACGAGGGTTCGCAACAGCAGAGGTCATATAAACCCTCAGGATGCCGGTGTTTTTGAAAAAAAAGCCCATTTGTAAGTATGTCAGATTCGAATGCAGGGCCGCTGGATTCGAACCCGGGACCTTTACCTTACAGCCATGAGGCCGTGTCAACGCCTAAACCGTTGCGGCCACCGACGCCCCTAATGTTGTTTATGTTATTCCAGCATATTATTACAACATATACCAAAATTGTCATCCGTCAAATGTCTAAAAAAGAAATAAGCTTCTCGTTATACTGGTCTTGCTAAAATTCTTTCAAAATTTAACTGGAAGTTGAACCCTCTGAGGAATGAAAAACTAATCATCAATAATGAAAGTTTTTTTTGGATGGCTCCGCAGGCTTACTAAGTTTGATATGCTTCTTCCTGTAAATAAAGTGTGATCCAATCCAAGGTAATTGAGATTTTGCATTTTTCTTCTCCAGGAAGTCAGGAAAGAACATTGTACTTACATCTGAACATTTATCTAACCATTTTTCACCGAGTATGCGTATCTCTTTTGATCTTAAGAGTTTCATCTGCCTCCAGCTCCAAGTAAAAATCCCAGCTTTCAACAATCACCCTACATTTGGTCCTACTTCCAGCAAACCTTCCTCGTTCAGACAGCCCCCAACAACCAGCTCAGCTTCAGTCGTTTTGGCCTATATCTAAGAAAAAGGACAGACCATCTGCTAGAAGGATCACTTCGTGAAGACAAAATTATACCTCATAACTTGCGAATCGCCGATTATCCCCAAATTCATAAATTAATACGATATAATTTTGCTTTTTGAAAGTGTCATGATAGAATCTTCTTCAGACTTTTAAAATGGCTATAGTCCCATTATTGCAGAGTTTCTGGTTATGTTTTTGGGAACTTTGAGTGAACATTTTCCGTTGATTGTTCAGACCTGATTGGTTTTGAAAAGAGTGAACTGGAACGCATACGTTTATACTAATTATGAAAACGTCTTTTATTTTTATAAATTAAGTTTTTTTATTCATTCAAATGCCTAGATAGCCAATATTATAGCATATGAATTTTATCAAGTCATTAGCAATGGCTGCTGAATAGCGGCCCTGGGTATTGGGGATATTTCCAGTGGATTCAAAGCATTCTCCTGCACCGCTTCTTTGAGCAGTAAGAGACCGAACCTCGACCCCATACAAAAAGAAATGACAATCAAAGCTTTTGTCAAATCTTGAGGTCCATAAATATACTCACACAAGAAGGACCCAATTTATTGAAGAAAGTTGCAGCCCTGCGCATCCTTAGGGTATTTTTAACTGGCCACACTTCCTAGAATTCTGCTTTCTTTTACAGGCATAGGTCGATCAGCAAACATATAAGTGTGGAAACCGTTAATTATTTGAAAGAGCATCCCTTTGTTCTTCTTAATTGGTCACAATGATGAAATGTCTTCTATCGAACGTTTTCGAGGTGTCAGTAAAGCTTAGCCAAGAAAAAAGATTAATTAAACAAGTTTTTTCAAATCTGGTCTTGTCTGGTATCGTACAAAATGCAAATTTCATTTACAAAACTAGTACTACTACTATTTCAATGTCTGCCTGTGATATTTTTGTCGTTGTCTTGGTAACTGTCGATTACGACCCTTTGCCCTGTAGTCTGGATGATGTTTTATCGAGTTGTTTGATCCAGAGTGATTGCATCATAGTTGAATTGGAGGATATTTACACAAGTACTTGTTTTTATTAGTCACCTGAGCTTTTTTAAAGATTAGATCTGCATAAAAGTTAGAAGTGGAAAGAGGAAGCACCTCTTTCTAGCACGTCTCTCTATCTTTATTTGTATAACTATGCTAATTTTTAATATATATTATTTATCAAAATATGTTTTAACAAACGTTAACCAGTACCTTTTCTTGATAATGTTATTGCTAAATTTTTTTACGATGATCTATGATGGTAAATGATTATGATGAAGCGTAATCAGGGTGATACAAATTTTAATTATGGTGTAAAATGAATAATTTCGTATATCCTTGGAGGGAAGGGTTTGTAAGAAATCCTCTTATAGGAATTTTTTTAATTTGCATATTTCTTTTATCTATTTGATAAGAAATGTCGCTTAATGAAAGAAATTATAGTAATGTATGTACCACAAAGGGTTACGTGCTTAAATAAACATTAGAGTACAAACATAAAATTATTAACTTGTAAAGTATTTAAATACATTAAACTTAATGCAACTTGAAATGCGATTTATCTTTTGATTGTGTCGAACCACTGCAAGTAAATTTGTCTTATTAATCTCTATTGTAGAGTATCGGTGAATAAACCAAGTTTCTAAGTCCTAGTGACAAGAGGACAGATTAGCTAGTTTCACCCGGCTAACTAAGATTAGCTAGCTTCCCAGATTAGCAACTGTGTTTATTTGCATTGATTCGATTGGAAAACTATTCCTACCTCGTTCTTGGTAACTCTGTCCCAGTCCAGAAGAAGAAACTCAAGATTTGTCTTATCCAGTGATTCAGCTCCCTGTGGAATATCAAATGCGAAGCTCTCGTTAAAAACAGGATTTAACGTACGTTTCTTCACATGGGTCTTTTTCTTGGCGATTCGTTGTCCGTTATACATGAGGTACATCTTGACATACGGATCTAAAATAAAAATAGATTAATAAATATAATTTATTACCAGGGGAAGTGAGATTGATAAAAATACCAGCAAGCCCTGTCACGTCCATTTTTGGTAAGTTCCTGGCTTTGAGCACGACGACGCTAAGTTTGTTAACAACCGGTTGCCAGCAGAGTGATACCAATAGCTCTCCTCTTCCTTGAGATTTGATCTGTATAAAAACAAAAACTTGCAATCAATTCTTATATTATTTGAAATTTTACACAATACCTTAAGACTTCTCGGTTGGATTTCCCGGCATAGAGACATTTGTTGATTCTCGGCTTGAGCTACGTCCACAGTGTCCAAAGAGCAGAAGACCTCACCGATAATATCATCCCGGGAGTATCGATCGAAGCTCAAAACCACGAAATGCAAGGTGATATTCTAACAAAAACATCGTTAAATAAAAATTTTCAATTAAAATGTTACATTGACTTACTTGAAGTTGTTGAATGCTAATTCCGTAAAACGTAAAGTCTTCATCATAAACGGGATTCCTGGTCTTCCTCAGAACTCTTGTCTTTACCTTGTGCTGCTTTTCCGGGAGTAGTTGAAGTTTAACGTAAGGATCACTGCTTCCGACGTTAGGGTCTTTGGCAGGCAGGTCCTTACACTTTACCACGCTCACAACCAATGTACTCTTCTCTTTCTTGTATCTATGAATTTTATACGATTAACAACCGATTCAATGTCAAATTCTTTAATAAATGAATAATAGATTACCTGATTTTGAAAATAAGCTGCCCCAGTTTTCCAGAAGTTGGAATCGATAGACAAGATTCCTTTTCGCCATTTTCTATTTCATCCTTGGTCGACAGTGAAGAATGTTCCCGAATTTCATCTTCAGTATGTAACCTTAAAAAAATATTATAAACGAAATATCACAAAATCAGACAGTAATGTAAACCAGGAAAACAGAAATTGTTCAAATATTTAGAAGAACGTACTGAAGGTCCAGTTACCCTTGGATTTATTTTATATTCCATTGTACCCTCAACCCAACATGGTTCGATAAAATGAAAGCCCTCTCTAGACCCTTGTTACTCCTTGGAAAAAGGAACTCTTTGTTGAAGAAAATACATATGTTTTATAAGTGTTGAATATCCCCCTTGATGGCGTCTTTACAACATGAAAGAACTACATGGCAGATTGATTGTATTTTGAATAAATTGTCTTAACTGATTATATAAAAAATATATTAAGTTATTTGAGGTATTGTGGAAATTAATGTGCACATTCGGCCTTACTCTTTCCCTCTTGCTCACTCTGTCTCTCTCACTTTCTCTTCTCTCACTCATTCACTTTTTGACTTTCTCACTCTCTCCTTCCTTTCTCTCAGTCAGTCGGTCTGTCAGTCTCTCTCTTCTCTCACTCATTCTCATTCTGTCTCTTCTTCTTTTTCATTATTTCCTTTCTCTCTCTCAGTCTGTCTATCTCTGTCTGGCTGTCTGTCTCGGTCTGTCGGTCTCTATCTCTTCTCTCACTCATCCTCTTTTTCACACACTCTCTCTCTCTTCTTCTTCTTCTTCTTCTTTCTCATTCTTTTCTTTCTCTCTCTCTGCCTGTCTGTCTCGGTCTGTCGGTCTCTATCTCTTCTCTCACTCATTCTCATTTTCACTCTCTCTCTCTTCTTCTTTCTCACTCTCTCCTTTCTCCCTCTCAGTCTGTCTCTGTCTGTCTGTCTATCTCTTTCCCGCTAATTCTAAGAGAGGTCATTTGCGACCTAATTTTGCAAAAAAAGTAAAACGATGTTTACTCAATTTGTACCTTTTTCTCTCTCTCACTCAGTTTTTCTCTTTACTACTCTCTTTGTTTCTCTATCTCGCTCTCCTTGACTCGTCTCTCTCTCACTCTCTCCCTTTCTCTCTCTCTGTCTCTAAAAACTGTATTCATTCATTCTATCTTCATTTTTCTTCAACATTTCTTCATTCTATCTTTCGTACGCTTTCCGTCTACCTTATAGATTGTTCTTCTTCCTAACTGAAAGATCTGCCTTGAACTTCACCGATTGCGACCATAAAGAAAGAAACAAAACTAGCAATTAAACACATGGAAAAAGTTTCCACATAGAGCAAAATTCCCCGATGTTGACTGTGCGACTATCAAAATGGAAACGAACCTTAAAACTAAAGGATTACACAATTGTCATCTTGCACTTGTGGATAATTTATAACAGATATGAACAAGGAGTAAAATTAAGGCCCTAAGGGCTGAATTAAAATAAGGCAGTTTGTAAGTACTTGACCTACTTAGCTACAGAAGTGTCTAACTCTGCTCCTTGGATGACAGAACTTGTCGGATCTTCGCATGTAGGACTTGTTCCTGGTGAAGATTTAGCAGACTGCAGAAGCGTCGTGGCACCACTTGGAGAATTACTTCCAGAACCCTGTAAAAAAAGAAAACTTTAACAATTGTAAAACAAAAAAAGAGGTAAAAATTATTTCAGAACCAATACTTCATTCTAGTCGTTAATAACAATAAAAATATATACCGTAGAGAGATTGGTTTCTTTTCCTAATTTTTAAACTTGGTCAAAACGAAAATTTAACCAAAGTGAGGAAGATTAATCTTTGTAATACAAATTGATCCTGATAGAGTAATCAAAAGCCGATAATTCACCAGGATTTCCATAATTGATTAGCACTCCCAATTCCCCTTCTCGAACAAACAGTGCTTGACACTGAACATCAAGTAGGGATATACGGCTGCAATGAAGCTCCCTTTAGCATTTGAAGAAGCATTTTTGACGATATTTGTCATTTTTCATCATGTTTTCCTAGCAGAAAAAGCCTTTTTCGGGTCCAGTTTAAATTAATCAATATAAATTTTTTTGATCGCTTTATGGATCTGATATGCCATGTGATTCAAACAGAAACGTATACGAGCTAACGAGGAACCTGCCGTTTCATCCATTAAATAAATTTACAATGATATATGTTCATTAATACCGAAAATTACAAGCATTTATAATTATTTGTTGATATTTAAATCCATAATAACAATCATTTTTGAAAAACCTCAAAAGAAAATATTGCTGTAAAATTAATAATAAGAATTGCGTGGAAGAAGAAGGCTCATAGCTATTACTCAAAGCTAAGCATAGGTAGCCTTCAATACGAGCACTTTCCTAATTAATTCTTTCTTCATTCCGTCCACTTTTGGTGAGGTATCGGGTGTTATTAATAAAATATAACAAACAATTTATAATCGTAAAAGTTTGTCAGAATCTATAAGATGCTTAAATATTTTGCATTGGGTCTTTATTGGACTTTACAGCGCGTTTGTTTACATTCTTTATATTACGTTTGGCTGGAAAGGCTTTTTCAAGCTCTCCTGAGCTCATTTATTCTTCTTCTTTTCGGAGACCTTTCTTTTTTTATCCTTCTTTTATCAGGAACATTTTTCTTTTTCTATTTCTTTATTTTCTTCTCTCAGGAAAATCCTTTCGTTTTATCCATCTTCTGTCTAGAATAGCCTTTATTTTTTCCTTCTTTCACTATTTGGGAAATTCTTTCTTTGTTATTTTTCTTCTATCAGGAAGATTCTTTCTTTTAGAACGTCTTCTATCAAGAAGATTTTCTCTTTATTTATCTATCAACTCCTAGAGAAATCCTTTGTTTACCATCCTCCTTTCACCAATAATATTCTTTGTTATTATTCGTATTCTATATGAAAGATCCTTTCGTGTTTGTCCATTTTTTATAACGTGGATACTTACATTGTTGTAACCTTTGTTTGCATCAGAGAGATACTTTTGTTTCTAGAAATGGTGAATGATGGAGTGGGTGCGGTGTTCAATCCTTTTTTAAAAAGATAGTTCCTACTCACAGTAAGTTGTTTTCCAAAGATCCGGAGTTCGAGCACCTTAGCTCATCATCAGGTTGAACTTCAAGTACGAAGTAACTTAAGTAAGTTCAACCTGATGATGAGCTAAGGGGCTCGAAATACATTTGTTTCTGTTCTTGTACATCTTCTTTTTTGTTTTTCTATCAAAAAGATCTCTTATTTATTAATTATTCAGAAATCGTGAGATGCGGTCTGGTGTGATGTAGGTTTCAGAGAAAATTTTCTTTATCGCGCCAACGTTTCGATCTTTATTGAGATCATCGTCAGGGCTCAAAGTGTTTGTCTTCTGTGTAATTCTGCCATTCTTACGTGTCGTGTTGAGAGTGCTTATATTTATTCTGTTTCTATAATGGAGATCTATCATTTTTTTATCAGTTAAAACGTAGTTTTTGTCCTTATTTTATTAAGATGATCCTTTCATTTATCTTCGAATTCCACCTGAGAGAGTTCCTTTCGTTTTTATCCTTTTTTTGTCAAGGGGATCCATTTTTTTAATACTTCTTCCATGAAAGAGACACTTTTGTTTTTATCCTTATTCTATGAAGATAATACTTACTTGTTCTTCTCCTTTTCTATCGGGAAGATCCTTTTTTATTTATCCTCCCTTATTTGAAGGAGAACCTTTCAACTTTTATCCTTTTTTTGTCAGGGGAATGAATTTTTTATTTTTGTTCGATAGAAGGATACTTTTGCTTTTATCCTTATTGTAAGAAGGAAGTACATTCTTGTTCTTATCCTTTTCTATCGGGAAGACCTTTTCTTTCTTACCCTCCTTATTTGAAAAAGATCTTCTGGTTTCACACTTTTTCTAATAAGAACAATCTTTTTTATCTTTAATATATCTGGGAGATCCTTTCATTTTATTATTCTTATTTGAGAGATACTCCATACTCTAGCAGTTAGATACTTTCTCGGCTTTATCCTATTTATTTAGCAATATCCGTTATTTATATATTTTTCTTCGACCTGGGAGATCCTTTTTTATCCTCATATTACTATGGAGATCCTATTGTTTTATCTTTCATCTATCAGGAAGATTATTTATCTTTCTTCTATAGAGAGAGCCTTTATTTTTTATTCTTGAGGTCATTTCGTTTTTGTTCTTGTTCGATGAAGAAAAACCATTCGTTTTTATCCTTATTCTATGTGAGAGGTCCTTTAGTTTTTCTCCTTCTTTCATCAGGGGTATCTTTTCTTAGTTTGTACCTTTGTTCTTTCTCACATTTTTCGTTTAAGTCCGTTCGAGAACGTGTGATTTTGGTTTATCGATATCCACATCTCAACATGAAAGTTTTGATTTTGAAATGTCATTTTCATTGGTTTCTGGCTTACATTTCAACCCTTGTTGAGGGATAAAATAGATTTTCAATAAAAAAACTAATGTTGCAGAAGAACAAGGAGTTAAGTGAAGGATGTTCGGGAAAAATTACGTTTTTCGAAAGGTCACTTTGACACGGACCAGTTCCCACTTTTATTCCAGCCGGTTCCAGCCCATTAATCTCTTTCCGCGTCCTAATTTTCATCGAACGGAGACACTGAAGTCTCCATCAGGCTGTAATTTTACTGTTTTATCAATCGATAATTGTTAATAAATTATGTCTTGTCAAAATACGCATTTATTTTTAATTCCATGGATGAATTATGAACCGATTATATTGGGAAGTTACGTAATAATTACCGTGAAACAGTGACAAAATAATATAATGCTAAAAGTTAATTTTAATGGTACTTGTATTTTTTAAATTATGTTTGAACAAGTTAACTTTCATTTTATACCATCAAAGCGTTTCGTACAGTTTGAAGTTTCACATATTAAAATTGCAAAATGTAGCTGTTCGTAATTGAAATGTCCGGTGGGTTCGTATGCATGAATGGCTTTTGTACAAATATACCCAATTTGCCCAAATATATTCCAGAAATATACACGGTTTTAATGTATTAAATCACGTTAACGAAGTTAAACATCATGCTACAGTCCTCGACCTTCGCATGGTACACATCGCTCATTGAAGGGGGGCCGACACTAAAACTTTTCAAAACACACAATTTCTTTTATGAAATACTTATTTTTTTAAAAGTAATTCTTTAGGTTATTTTTTCTAATTTCTTTAATAAATTTGGTTGATTTCCGGGTGACCAAAAAAAAAAAGTTGTCCGTTGATTGTATGTGCCGTTCTCCTCGGAGAAAGAAGCCGAGATCGAAACCAGGTAATCTTCCGGAACAATTAGTGCCAAAAAAGCAATTTGAGTCTGAACCTTATGCGTGATATTGGGTTGAAAATATGGAGTTTATGGTTATAAAATAAAAACCATTAAATAAGTGATTGTAAACAAGTTTTATTAATTAAAATTCCCTCCATCACTCTCAATGTTCTCCAGACTGGCAACTCTATACCCTCTGAATCTAATTTTGAGTCTTTATTATTAACAACATTTTCAAACTTTTTATGAATTTTTTATGTTGCAAAATGATGTCCAGGTGTCGGAAAAAAGGGTAGTCTGTAGGCGAGAGATGTGGCGAATAGGGGGTGAGGCAGAACCTCATAACCAAGATCCCACGGTTTTTCTGTTGTCACATGTGAGACATGAGGTCGAGATCACTTAGCATTTGCTTTCTCCGGATGACATAATTAGAAATATCGACCAATTTTCCACTCATGAACAGTCTAGATCAAGGTTAGGTTTACTTAAATCAATAAAATTTCAATTTTCCATTTTCTTCTCTTTTGCCATTTCCACCTAATTACTGTTACAAGTGACATAAATTAAATAAATCCCTATACTGAATTGAAAAATTGAAAATCATATTTGTAGTTTTTCACTTGTATAGTGTAACAAAATATTTCGACGAGATCAGTCAGCAAATAAAACCGTGACGTAAAGAAAAAAATCAATAATTTATTTTCGATTATTTTTTAGAATTGAAAAGAGGAATGGCACAAATTTGACATATATATTCATATAAGTTTTAAACGTTTAATTATTTTTAGAATATAATATTTGTTCTTCAAATTGATCTAATAGAATTATGCAATTCTCTCAATCTGCCAACTTTGGTTCAACATGAACTATCGTCTGGTTAGAGTCCAAAAACAACAAAACCAATCATAAAAAACTCTTTTTCCTTAATGAAATCTGTAATTAAAATTTTAGTACTAAAACAGGGAAAGATGTTCAGCAAACATAAGAAAAAGGATTATTGATAGAACAGTAGAAAGGAACTGATGAACGACCCCATTACTTTCATTGAGAGAATGAAATAGCCAGTTGACGTTGATAGACAAGATGAAACTAGGTGAAACTAGCCTGTTTTTCTACTTATTTTAATGGCTTACTTGACAACTCACGTGAGAGATTAAAAATTAATATAAAACCCGAAATTTTTTCAGATGAATTTTATTAACTAAAAATTACAGACGTGAAATTTAAACCTAAATCAAGCAAGGTAAATTTAGAATTAAAAGTAAATGTAGAAAAGCTAAAAAAATAGCTTTATTAATAATTATTCAGAAATCGTGAGATGCGGTCTGGTGTGAAGTA